CACCGCACACCCCCCACATCCCGCCTGTGCGCCTCCCGTGTCCTCAGCCACGCACACCCCCTGCCACTTATGCGCACGCGGACCCAGGTCCCTGCAGTGCAAACAGCAGCCCCTAACCTCCCACCCAGCACTGTCCCCAACTCAGGCCAGCACCCATCCCAGACCCTGCCACGCCTCAATACACACCCAGGCACATACATATTCCCCACACATCCCTGCTCTCTGCACTAACACAGCTCCCCTCGCCGTGCCCCCACCATCTCCGACTCCCCATATGCTCATTACAGACACCCCACCCACATTCCCAGCCCAGAGACACTGCAATCCACCTACCCCAAGCGAAGCCCCAACACTAACCCACACCCCAGGGGCTGACACTCCCCACTTCCCTCAGCCAGGCCCACTCCCCAGCACACACACAGACCCCAACACGTATGCACACCTGCTGGATTCCCGCTCTCCAGCACCCCGCCCCGCCCCCGTCACAAATAGCCCTCAACAGCCCCCAGCACATCCCCAGTCCCTCCCACCACCACCCCCAACACCTGGCACGCGGGCTCTAGAGGCTGCAGCATTTGGTGACATCCCTGCCAAGCGCCTCTGACTCGCCTTCGGAGGCGGCTTGCCATCCTGAGGGCCCCCAGGTGCCTCCCTAAACAGACTTTGGGTCTCCCCAGCGACCGGTTTGGCCTCTTCCCTAAGAGATAAAGAAGGCACTGGGGGCGCAAGGTACCGTGCTTAGATATGCGGGCGCCGGTGGGGGTCCGGGAGGAGGAAAGGAGAGGCAGGCATTGATATGGACGCAGTGCACGTAGTAGGTCGGTTCTGCGAAGACAGGAATTCACGCAGTGCGTGTGTGTCTGCGTGTGTGTTGGGGGGAGTAATAAGTGTGCACGTGTGCTTGTGCGTGGGGGGGGGGGCAGTGTGCAACCCGCTGAGAGAAAAGGCAGGAGCAGCACCCGCCTCGTGCAACAATTGGTTTCATTCATTCACGCCGCCTTTATTAATGAGCATTTCTTCCCTGAGCGCTAGGCTGGTGCCAGGCCCCGCACTGGGGGGCAGGGGCCAGCTTGGGGCAGGGCACACCCCACTCCTGCTTTGGAGGAACTCCCAGTCCCACGAGGTGACCGACCAGGAAAAGCAGAAAGCCATCCCCAGCGGAAAGTGTATTTGGTGGAAAAGACACTGGATTTGGCAGGAACACTGTCGCTGGGAGTTGTGCTCCCGGCCATGTGACCGGGCCGCCACAGCCGAAATCCTGCCACTGGGCCCGGCGGGAACCGGGCATTTCGGAATGGGGGGATGAAAGGGGAGGCGGGGCGTCGCATTCCGGAGGCTCTGGGGACCAGAGGGCACACGCGGCGCGCGAGGGGCCTACTGGCTGCAACGTCCCGAGGCCTCCAGGGAGCAGTGGCC